CAGGAGCTTGTCATAATTAAATAGGGGGTATTTTCCAACATGCAGCTGATTTCATTTTGAATATATCCCATAGAGAAATGTTGCCATCTGCTTCTGTTATGCTTCCTTTAGCCTAAAATTGTTGATAACATAGAATAATAAACAGCACAGCAAAGTTCAATGAGATGTCAAATATATATACTGTGTATATATATATAATTTTTTTAATGAGACACTACTCCAAAGACATGCACCACATATCATACATACGTTAACACATAATTCCATCTCACAGGAAAAATGTTTAAACAAACAACAATCCATTTTCCTCTATGATATAGTCCTAAAGGCTCCATTCTTGTGTACTGTCCATTTATGTTGCTTGTCATATTCATGGCTCAAATCGTTTGAAAGCACATTGCACTGTACATTACTGTAATGGCTGTTGCCATGTATCATATGCAACGTTTTCTGGATATTTTCTTGCATTCTTGCTATCAAATTGGCCAGTTTCACTTGAAGACTTCACCACCATTGTATTTTATGAAGGGAATGTAAATAAAATATGGTAATTCTTCCTTCTAGGTTTAATTATCCTCTGACTTGTGGATGGACACAGATAATGATTAAGATGATTCTGTGCTCTTCATTCTTCAGGCTAAATGTTCTCCATCCTAAACCATATTTGCTTTAACAATTGATAGTTGCTTGCATCCTGTAACACATGTAAGGAATCGGGGTCACGAGTAAGGAAATTCATGATCCTCATGTACAAAACAATAATGGGTTGGCTGAATGATCAAGACAGCACTGTCTCAAAGTTCCTTTGAAATCTACAGAAATATTTTTCTAGGGCTAAGTATTCTCCAAGGTAAGCTGAGCTTAGAAGCATAATTCTTCTTTAAGTACTACTTGGATTCATGTGAATGGATGCTGACTGCTGTACAACGAGGTTATTTCAATACATCATGATATCCTGGGGTGCATCCCAGGTAGATATGTATGTTAGTAAGACATATGTCCTGGCAATTTATGTTCTAAGTCACAAATGGACATTCAGCGTTTAAGGCATTTCCTTCCTGCCTCTAATATGGATCAATAAGACAAAGCAGTGTTTATCTCAGTTGCTCCTAATTTGGTCAAATAAAATGTGGAATTATTTTCTTAGCAGCATTGGGGCCATGAATAAATGTTCTAAATTTTACTACAACATTATGTAGCGCCCCTCAAGTTTAGCTAGGGGGGACTAGTTAGTTCTTTTTAGGTAGAGGCTGAGTAGCAGCCTGGGATGAGCAGCCTGGGATGAGTCAGCCAGGTTATTTTATGTCAGGGCTGAGGGCTCTTCAGATCAGTTCCCTGATACCTAGCCATGCTCTAGGTGCTGGAAAAGTTTCTAGAAGTCAGTAGGTGGGGGTGAGGAGGGGCTGATCTGCATACTTAAGGGATCTTGATTCCTTCTTCCGCCTGACACTACTACTCCTGCTGACCAGAATCTCTTATACTTAAGCGCTGTCCTAGCCCCATGCCAAGCCTCCTGTTTGGGGATTGGCCAAGATCCTTTAATTATGCAAACTTTTTCCCAAACTGAGCTCATAATTGCATATCCCCAGCCTCCACCAACCCCATGCCCCTCCCCTAACTTTTCTATTGACTTCAATGGCACAGCTATCAGTCCCTTACCTCATTCCAGGGTGCTAAATGGTATTTGAGACTCTGACCTCTCCTTTTGGCCCCACATTCAATCACTTTTCAAATCTTGCTTTCTTTACTTACGTAAATTCTTCAAAATATGTCCCTTCTTATATAAACTACACCACAAAGCTAAAAATGAATTCGCTTGTTATCTCTTGCCTCAACTATTGCAACTCCCTCCTTATTGGTCTATCTTTACATAGGCTATTCTCCCTTCAGTCTATCATGCATTCACCTGCCAGACTCATCCAGTCTTTTATTTTCACAACAAATAAAATAAAAAAAAACTAACAACAAGAAGGACTTCTTCAGGGGCTCTCCCATACTCTGGAACTCCCTACCCCATTCTGTCTGGATATCTCCTATTCTGTTCACCTTTAGGTGATCCCTGAAAAGCCTGCCTTGATTCCACCTAATAGACGTTACTTTCACTTTCTCCATCAGGTTATCCCTTAAATGTATTACTTTTTGCACTGTATGATTTGACCCTCAAATTTAGATTGGAATCTCTCATGAGCAGGGACCTCTGATCTCCTTTGTATTGAATTGTATTGTAACTATACTGTCTCTCTAAATTTGTTAAAGGTCCAAGTAAACTGTTGGTGTGAGATAGATAGATAGCTAGATAGATAGCTAGATAGATAGCTAGATAGATAGCTAGATAGATAGCTAGATAGATAGCTAGATAGAGAGATAGAGAGATAGAGATAGATAGATAGATAGAGAGAGATAGATAGATAATTTATTTAGGGTTTTATTTATGTGATAGCATGCTTTTCTTTCTTTAAAGAGTAACTCCTTTTTGTAGAAAAAATTTAGCAAATAGAAAAAAATAATAATATAGCATATACAATTGCAGCACAAGTCATGTTGTAATTGAATGCTATTTAAAAAAAAAACTTTCCTTCTCAATCTGCAGCACTGTAATTTTCTGTAAAATGCAATGCAATATAGCTACCTGTAGGCATTCTATACACTCCCAAGAAATGTAATTTCCTGCTTGAGTGATTGGCTCACTGATTTTCCAAGATGTGTGCACTAAGATACAAGTTAGGTTTTAGGCATCCCTTGCAACAAAAGTGTCATGTTTGGTGAAATATTCTCAAAGAGAAATCATCTAAAGGGACCCAGATCCTGCCACTTTCCTCATTAGAACCCAATAGGCAGCAGCCTATTGATAACTATGAAATCATTTCTTAACATTTATTTTGCACATGGACACAGACAAACAAACAGCTATTTCTTCAGAAGAACAAAAGGTAGGAATCTGCAACAAAGTTTGTTAAAATCCCCTGCAATGTGCATAGATCACCCAGAGGGGAATGTTTTTTTTTTCCTCAGACAAAAGTTATTCTTTAAGCATAAAAGTGCGTGTGTATGAATAAGACTGACATGCCTTTGTTTATTTTTATTTTATAATAAAGCAAAAATGTTGCTTACAATAAGGATGAGATAACAAGAAAACAAAGTTAAAGGTCTTTAATACTGCCACTAAATATATTGTAATATTTCTAGTTCTGCAAAAACAAAACATTTAATTTTTTCTAATTGGCTTCACCTCATTACTCGCATTGAATTTTAGTTTAAAACAAATACTTGCCACATTATAAACTCTTTCCTTGCAGAGACAAGAACTTATGTGTGATTATATCTGTCATGTAAAATATTTTATTTTGAATGAGATACAGTAATGGGTAAGATGTTCCCACCCATGTAATGATTATGGAGATTCAGCAGACACTGCTGTGAAAAGAAAGATAATACTTAGCCATGTAGCAGTTTTTAAATAAAAGCATGGTATGCCTTAATAATTGTGCAGAAAGGATAATGTCTTTTTCCTATGTAGTCTTTGTAGACTATTCAGGCGGTGTAAGGGGGATTTTTTCATTTAAAGCAGAACTTAACTGTATCTGAGCACCACAAACTGAAAACGCTATTTTATTCATTTTTTTATATTCAAAGTAAATTCATCCATCCATGTTTCCATGCTTTATTTTGTTGAGAAATCACTTTGAAAAACACTCCCTAGCATTTCTAGCTGTGGCCATCTTAAGGGAGAAGTACAGCCAAAGCTTTTTTGGCTGTACTTCTGTGGATCACAGGAGTGCAGTTCGTTCTGCACTCCTGTGACCTGTTTTCAGCTGACAGAGGGCTGAAGTCCACTGTCGGTTGATGTCACTCGGCCGGTCCAGGCTGGGGAAAGATCCCGACTTCAAAGTCAGGATTCACTCCAGAGTCTGGAGCGGCACCTGGCTCAGGCTCTCAGCAAAGTGCTGAGAGTCGGAGCCAGCCACTCCCTTCCCCTTCACAGCTCGGTGCTCCAGTGAGCGCTGGGGGGGCTGAACAGACAGCGGTGACTGACAGTCCCACTCTCTGCTCAGAGTGGAGAGGAGAACTCAGCAACCTACGGTCATGTGATCGCTGAGTTCTCACCCTTACAGCCGCCAGGGGACAGATGAAGCATTGGACTGATGCTTCATCCACCTAGGTCAGTATAATGGGGGGGACAAACTTCTCATTTAAGTAGATTATTCATGTAGCGTTTATTTCCACATGGAAGAAAAATATATTTAAAATATATTTTAAAAATAATCTTCCCAAATATATTACCATATATTTGAAATACTTCAATTATGGCCATATTCAATATATTTCAACATATATTTCAATTAACATATATATTTTTTTCATAAATTTCAAAATGTGTGAAAAATTGTTTTAAAAATACATTTCAAATATACTGTAAAATATATGTTAAAGTGACTTTTTTATATGTTAAAAAAATCTGAAGAATATATTTAAAAAATATATATTTTTAAAATATATTCTTCAGATTTTTTTTAACATAAAAAAGTCATTTTAACATATATTTTTACATATATTTGTAAATGCATTCCAAAAATGTAGATTTGTATTTTTAACCCCTTGACACCGAGTGCACGAAAGTATGCGGCTTCTCGGCATCTGGGCCTTGACGCCGAGCGGCCGCATATTTGCGTGCAATTAGAAAATACATATGTGCTGAGAGCGTGCACCCTGTGTGCTTCCAGCACATATGGCCGTGACTCACGGAAAAGTCCTGATCTCCCCTTTCGATCAGGGCCTTTGCCGATCATGTGACCGCTGTGGCGGCGAATCACGGCGGTCACATGACCCTAAAACTCTGCCCACCTCCCGTCTTCTGGAACTCTTAAAGGGTCGGGAGGTGCCAGCGTGAAGTGGTTAACCACCTTCCGCCCGCCATATAGTACAATGACGGGCGCAAGGTGGTTCTCTCGTTCTGATAGGACGTCATATGACGTCCTTCTATTCTCACCGCGCATGCGCAGCTCAGGGAGCACGCAGCGCGGCGATCGCCGGTGCGCTATGTCCCTCGGACACAGCGGATCACGAATCACGGAAAGAGCCGAAGATGTCAGCTCGGTCATGTGATCAGCTGTGTCCAATCACAGCTGATCACATGTAAACATGGAAATGCCGGCTGTCGGCATTTCTCTCCTCTCGAGCTGTCACGCGGACAGCTCAAGAGGAGAGGAGAGCCGGTAATCGGCTTTCTGCGGAGGGGACATGTACACTGATGATCAGGGCACTGATGATCAGTGTGCCCTGATGATCAGTGTGGCCCCAGAAGTGCCACCTGTCAGTGTCCATCAGTGCCAGCAGTCAGTGCTCATTAGTGCCACGTGCCAGTGCCCATCAGTGCCACATCAATGCCACATATCAGTGCATACCAGTGCACATCAATGCCACATATCAGTGCCCATCTGAGCTGCCTTTCAATGTCACCCATCAGTGCCAGTCAGTGCCACCTATCAGTGCTGCCAATCAGTGCCACCTATCAGTGCCAGTCAGTGTTGCCTATCAGTGCGCATCAGTGCCGCCTATCAGTGCCAGTCAGTGCCGCCTATCAGTGCCAGTCATTGCTGCCTAACAGTGCCAGTCAGTGCCATCTATCAGTGCCAGTCAGTGCTACCTATCAGTGTCGCCTATCAGTGCCATATATCAGTGTCATGTATCAGTGCTGCCTTTCAGTGCCCATCAGTGATGCCTGTCAATTCCCATCAGTGCAACTTACCAGTGCCTCCTCATCAGTGCCCATCAGTGCCACCTATCAGTGCCCATCAGTGCAGCCTATCAGTGCCCATCACTGCAGCATCATTAGCACACATCAGTGAAGGAGAAAAATCACTTATTTACAAAATTGTATAACAAAAACTAAGAAAAAACTTTTTTTTTTTCAAATTTTCAGTGGTTTTTGGTTTGTTTAAGAAAAAAAAAAAAATTCCAGAGGTGATTAAATACCACCAAAAGAAAGCTCTATCTGTCTAAAAAAAATGATAAAAATTTCATATGGGTACAGTGTTGCATGACCGCGCAATTGTCATTCAAACTGTGACAGCGCTGTAAGCTGGAAATTGGCCTGGGCCTTGGTTAGAGACATACAGTATATTTGAAATGTATTTTTTTTAATTTTCCTATATTTTGTAATAAAAATGCATTTTAACATGCAATATGTATGTGTGTGTATATAAATATATATATATATATATATATATATATATATATATATAGGGCCAAAATTGTAGCATTTTAAATATATGGCAATATATGTGGGAAGAAAATTTTTAAATATATTTCAAATATATTTCTCTTCCATATGAGTTGCCTGGAGTCCATCTGCCCTTAGCTCAGGCATGTAGGGCAGAGGGTGTACTTAGCTGAGAATGCCTCTCCTCCCCTGGTCCAGATGAAAAAAAAATGCTCATGAAGGCTCACAGTGTATGGCATTAGATTGGTCTAGGCCAGAACCAGGAAGTATGCAGCAAAACGTTTAAAACAGGTAACTATAATATACCCTCTTATTTCCGAGTATTTACTAATAAGAGAGAAGAGAGTATATGATGTAATCCCAGCTATTACACCTCCTCCTTGGCAGAGCAAATGCTATTATTTTTTTGTATTACAGAGATGACTTCCTGAAAATTCAGGTAGACTTTTCTCCTAAACGTGGAGATTCAACATTTGTGTGACTGCACTGCTAGTAGTGAGGATAAAGTCCTGGAAAACACTAGATCCCCTGGTATGACCATGTGACCTATGTGCTTTTTGACTGCTAGTTTAGTAGTCAACAAATTGTAGTTAAGAGGCTGTATGTGCAGTTTCTCGGTGGTAGTTGCGGGAGTTCCACGTGTATCTATAGGACATCTTTGGTGGACTATATTTGAACTTGTATAATTTGTTCTTTATCTTGTATGATTAGCGTTGCATTCTTATATATTTTATGTTTATGATTGTTGCCAACGAATTTGTGCCAGCTGCTTATTCTCATTTCTCATTAACACGAGCGCAGGTTATTTTTCTTTTCTTTTTATTTACCAATGTTAGCATCATAAGAATTAAAAGTGTTAATGATGATTGAGAGTTTAGTTCCACTTTAACTTTTAAAAAAAAGCAACTATTCTGTCAACTTCTGTAGTTATCAGAGCACAGCCAGTATACAAGCAGTGCCTATTATTTGGTTTATATTAACATCTTCGCTCCGGTGCCTCTCGGCCCTTAAAGAGTTTCAGAAGTCGTGAGGCGGGAAGGGGTCTTAGGGTCATGTGACCGCCGTGATTCGCCATCACGGTGGTCACATGATCGGAAAAGGTCACAATCGAAAGGGGAGATCAGGACCTTTCTGTGAGTCGCGGACACATGTGCTGGGAGTGCGTAGGGTGTGCGCTCTCATCACATGTGTATTTTCTAATTGCACGCAAATATGCAGCCGCTCGGTGTCAAGGCCCAGATGCTGAGATATTTGCATGCAATCGGCGTCAAGGGGTTAATAATACAATCCAAAGCAACCAATCACATTTCAGCTTTCAGCAGCTTACAGTATGCAGGCTATTTAATGCGTGTGTTTGATCCTTTACTCTTTTATATAGAAGAGTGAAGGACTGGGTCTCATTCACATGGAGATTTTCCCACAAAATGGAAATCTCTCAGTACACTATCAAGTGCAATCTACAAATATCCTCAATATTGCAAACAGTTCTCAAAATTAGTCAAATGAGGCAGTCTGCTTTTACAAACACTTAAATACCATCCCTGTCTTACTTTTTAATGGCCATTTTGGATGTCATATTACTTAATGTTGCTTAATGGCCACTATTACGATCTCCAGCCATACTACTTACTGCATAAGTAAATGGACATTGTAAATAGACATAATAAACGTCCATTAGCATTCCAAAATTAGATTATGTGTTTAGTGCTGCATCAAAAGTGGCACAAGTAATTGGGATCTAATGTATAGGAAGCTGGAGATCATAATGTCATGGTTTTCATAAAATATAGACAACTGAGAAAAATGACCATCATCCTTTTGCAGTTATAGTCACATGGGAACTTTAAGCAGATATTTATGTGGATAATGTAGATAGATTTATTACTGCATTTCTCCTTATCCTATCACAGGGAGCTACTGTTATTTACACCCAAAAATAAATAAAATATCACAAACAACAAGCCTTGCTTCCCAACATAGAAATTTCTCATTAACAGCTTCACCTGAAACTCACAAACAACAATCATGCACATATAACAAAAAAACAAAACACATAACAAATAACCTTAAACATAATGTACAGTGCTCAGCATAAATGATTACATCCCTACAGATTTATCAGAAAACCTTTACTTTCCTTTCAGAATGAACATTTTTTATGGGACACTATACTACAAAATACTCCCAAATGCGGGCCATTGATTGCAAACAAGATTTGTTAATTTGCACCCACAAAAAAAGTATTTTTCCTAACAAATTCATTCAGGACTATGTTGCAAAAATGAATACACCCCAATGAAAGTTGTAAGAGCAGAGCTAGATTTTAGACAACAACATCCTAATTAACAAGAATTCAACTAAAGGCGAGTCAAATTATTCATTAAACAGATGCCCATCAGACAGTTGGTTATAGTAGGGCGTTACTAAACAAAGAAAACCCCTCCCATTTCATGCTGTCAGCAATGGCACCACATGGAAGAGAAATGTCACAAGGCCTGAGAAAGAATATAATTTCTTTACACAAGAAAGGTGAAGGATACAAGAAGATCAGCAAAGCTTTACTTTGCAGTCAGAATACCGTAGCAAAAGTGATACAAAAATTTAACTGAGATGGAACTGCAGCCATCTCACAGAGACGCCTAGGCCACCCACCAAACTTGACACCTCAACTGGAGCGTCTTCTGATTAGAAGGGTTGAAGAAAATCACCATGCAAGTTCACTGCAGATAGCTAAAGAATAAGAAAAAACAGTACTGATTCTGTGCAATAGTATGGGACTGCTGCTAACACCTACCACACCCTAATAGGAATGTGTAGAAACAATAAAAATATATGGTGTAGCGCTGTTCCTCATATGTAGTGAAGTAAATCAATGTGCTATGTGGCAAGAAGTGTGGAGTGCACATAAATGGATGTGGTTTTCAGGGTTGTAGGCAACACCTGCTGGTTACATTGTACAGTACAGATACCCAATGACTGAGAGGTTAATTGCCTTGTGTAGCCATTCAGCTCACACTCAGCCTCTTTCCTGTCAGGGTTGCCAATCCCCCCCCCCCAACCGTTTTTTTACCTGACAGACCATGAAAGATCTGCCAGATTTTATGAGAGAAACTCTTGTTAGAAACTAAGAAGGGAAGAGGGGGTAGTGAGATAGGGACAGAAGAGGGGAGGAGAGAGAGAGATGAAAACGTAGGTGGGGGGAGTGGAAGGTGAGAAGGGGGAGGAGAGAGGAGAGAGAGGGGGGGAGGATGAGAGAGGGAGGGAGTGAAGAAAGAGAGTAAGAGAGAGGGATAGGGTGAGAGAGAAAGAGGGAGAGGAAGAGAGAGAGGGGGGGAAAGGGGGGGGGGGGAGAGTGGGTGAGAGAGATGGAGAGGATGAGAGAAGGAGAGGGTGAGAGAGCGGGAGTGAAAAAGAGAAGGAGGGTGTGAGAGAGAGAGGAAGAGAGAGAGGGTGAGAGAGAGAGAGAGAGGAAGGGAGAGAGAAAGGGAGAGAGAGGGTGAAAGGGAGGGTGAGAGTGAGGGTGAAAGAGAGAGGGGGGAGAGGGAGAGGGAAGCAGAGAGAGGGAGAAAGAGAGAGGGCGATAGAGAGAGGATGAGAGAGAGGGAGAGAGGGAGATAGAGGAAGAAAGAAAGAGGGAGAGAGAGGGAGGGTGAGGGAGAGAGAATATGAGAGAGAGGGGGAGAGAAGGACACAGAGAGAGGGAGAATGAGAGAGGGAGAAAGAGAGGAGAAAGAGAGAGGGAGAGAGAGTGGGAGATAGAGGGAGAAAGAGAGAGGGTGAGAGAGAGGAAGAGAGAGAGAGGGTGATAGAGAGAGGGGGAGAGAGAGGAAGAGAGACACAGGGAGAGAGAGGGGGGAGAGAGAGGATGAGTGGGGGTGGTGAGAGGGAGGGTGAGGGTAAGAGAGGGGGGGCGAGAGAGGGGGAGAAAGAGGGAGAGGGGAGAGAGAGGGAGGGAGAGAGAGGGAGGGTGAGAGAGAGAGAGGTGAAAGAGAAAGGGAGGGAGAGAGGACGAGAGAGAGGGGTGAGAGAGAGAGAGGGAGAGACTCTCCACTCTCATCCTGGACTTCACTTCTATAGAAGAGAGGAGGAAACTCCAAATTCTACTGGGAGAAGAGGAGCCAATGGTGAAAATAGCTGTGCCACAGACTGAGAGGGACATGAAAAACTGAAGACTTAAAAAACCTTTACATGGACCCTTTTCCCATCCCCCTTTATATTACCCCTCCACCTTTTCCCATACAAACAGCTTTGGCAATGCTAAAATGTTGTTTGGTCCTGCCAATAAAGCTCTTTTGAATTGAATTG